GAGTTTAATGGGGGAATCCTTGAATTTAATGGGGAAATCCCGATTTCAATGGGAGGAATCCCCGAGTTTAATGGGGGAATCCTTGAATTTAATGGGGAAATCCTGAGTTTAATGAAAGAACTTCTGAGTTTAATGGGGGAAATCCCGAGTTTAATGGAGAAATCCTTAATGGGAGAAATTCCTAGTTTAATGAGAGAAGTCCCGAGTTTAATGGGGAAATCCTGATTTCAATGGGAGGAATCCCCGAGTTCAATGGGGGGAATCCCGAGTTCAATGGGAAGAATTCTGAGTTCAATGAGGGGAATCCCTGACTTTAATGGGGAAAATCCCAGAGTTTAATTGGGGGAGTCCCCGAGTTTAATGGAGGAATCACCGAGTTTAATAGGGGCAATCTCAAGTTCAGTGGAGGGAATTCTCTGTTTAATGGGGGAATCCCTGAGTTTAATGGGAGGAATCCCGAGTTTCATAAAATAAATCCAGGATGTTTTATTTTTAGGTGTGTCTATGTAAATAAGTAGAGGTTAGAACAAACAGCTTGGTGACTGGAACATGTTCAGTGGGTAATAACTGTTATTGAATCACAATAAACTCACATTTAAACTTATATTTCTTACAGTTTTTGTGTCCTCAGAGGATTCAAATGTTTAAAATGTGTTTTTAGATTCTGTTAAATGATGTGTTACAGGTTTATCTTAAAAGTTCCCGGAAATGATTCTGGAAATGATCACTCCAGTAACATTTAAAACTTAGCAGCTTGTTTTTCTGTTTCCCTAAATCAGGGCTGTTCAACTAAACTGCTCCGGGGGCCACAGTTTCTGAGGGGCCGAACATCCAGCAGTTAAAGTCATTATTAATAAACCAAGTATTACAAACATCTATTACCTTTGAAACAGTTTATTTTGCTGTATTTAATCATGAACACAGCATAGAGAACGATAGTAAAACAATATAAAAACAAAAAGAACACATTTAGGCTTAAAAGATGAATGAACCAACTGGTGAGCCGAACTTTGTTCACTCGTGGGCCGGATGTTGAATAGCCCTGCCCTAAAATCTGGAAGTAAACGTTCAGGTGCTGCCAGACGGCTCCGACATCTAAAGATGTTTTGAGCAGAACAGGTGTAAATCTGTTCCTTCTGTTCCTCAGAGACCTGCAGGTGTTTGAGGAGCTGTTCAGCTTCGCCTGTCCCAAGTTCTTGTCTCCCGTGGTGCCAAACTACGACAACGTGCACCCGAACTACCACAAAGAGCCGTTCCAGCAGCAGGTGAAGGTCTTCGCTGAGGAGGTGCAGCAGCAGGCTCAGCTCTCCACCATCCGCAGGTAAGCCACGCCCCCTCAGGTGTGGTCGATGTTTCTGTTGGAGCAGCCGGTCTGACTCCTGTCCCTGCAGCTTCTTGAAGCTCTACACCACCATGCCCGTGGCCAAGCTGGCGGGCTTCCTGGACATGTCGGAGCAGGAGTTCCGCATCCAGCTGCTGGTCTTCAAACACAAGATGAAGAACCTGGTGTGGACCAGCGGCATCTCTGCGCTGGACGGAGAGTTCCAGTCTGCCTCCGAGGTCGACTTTTACATCGACAAGGTCAGCGTTCAGTCTTCCTGCAGCTTTGTTCCTCACAATCCCGTTTTCTGCACTCTAATCTTCAGAGCTTTGCAGATTTTAGATTTATTCTCGTCATCGAAGCGTCTTTAAATTTACCACCTGCTACAGCTGGTTATCAGCTGCTGGTCTGTGGGCCACTCTGACTTTGTAAACAACTAAAAATATGTAGTGAATCTTAATGTTTGTTGATAGTTTTACACTTTACAACAAAGGAAACTATAAAATCCATGTAAACAATAAAAGTATGGTAAAAACCTTATAACAAATTTACTGTATTTATTCGTGTATAATATGTAAAATTAAATCTATAAAATTGTCCACAAAGTTGGGGAGTAGTATTATACTCAGATAAATATTTTTACTTATGTATTTTAACTGAAATATCGGCAAAATTATTGAGTCCAGAAATGAGACCACGTTGTAAAAATCAGTTGAAACGAGCTCCACTCCTCTGTCTTCAGAGTGAGATAATAACAGATCGAAGCAGGAGACATGATGTGAAAAAGGGGTAAAAATCAGTCCTGCAGCTCAGTAATGATAACAAACTAATGACATTAGTGTGTGACCGAGCAGCTCCTCGAACAACA